AGAAATATAATTAAAGACGTGCCCCAAAAATTTAAAATCAAAAAGGGGTACCTTGTGTGTAAGAGAAACCAAAAAACCAAATTAAAGTCATTGAAAAACGTATGCAAACTCATCAAAATGTTGTGAATATCTTTATAGGGGGGACTCTAAAACGAACAACGGAAAGGACTTCCAATGGGTTCACCAGCGTCACCGATTATAGCTGACGTAATAATGGAGGAATTATTGGACGCTTCTATAGAAAAGATGACGATGAAACCAAGGATATTAACAAAATACGTGGACGATATATTTTGTATAGTGAAAAAAACGGAAGTCGAAAATACACTAAGGGTATTGAATTCATTCGACAAAAACATACAATTTACACATGAAATAGAGGAAAATGACAAGCTGCCATATCTAGATGCAATGATAATCAGACAAGACAAGGAACTTAAATTAGATTGGTACCTTTTGCAGATCTAATGTGTACAATAAGGACAAATTCCAGATAGCTTTAAAGACCATCAACACTGTTAATAATATGTTCAGTAAAACAAAGACAAAGACAAAAAAAGAGGATAAGTGCAATGTAGTTCTAGGATAGCATGTAACGGTGACGAAGGTGATGTATGCCAAAAGGTATACATTGGCACGACAAAAACAAAATTAAAAACTAGACTTTCCGGACATAAATCTGATCAAAAATCTGACAAACCATTAGAGCAAAAGACGGCGCTAGCAGCACTAATCCAAAATAGCAAATTACAGCGACAACTACGTAATCTAAAATTGCTAATTTTTTTTTAGAAAAACATACAACTTTTTTCACCAATTCCTATTCGACATTTTGGGTGGCTAAACGTATAAAAATAATGCAATATTGTTGTGCATAAATAAATCGTTAATGAAACATTCAGATTTCATCACAAATTAGTGTCTTTGTTCCATAAATATTACAGTTTCTGTTTCTTCTCTTTGGAAAAAATTAAATATTAAACAAATGATTTTTGTTTATTAATTTTTAATTTTAACTTCAACAAATTTTATATTGTTTAGCTGCTTAAGATTCCACCGAAGTCCTTGACCATATTTGTGACTTTCATATGGACCAAATAGTTGACTGCTAGGATTACACTGATAATACCACCATGGGCCCATAAAGACCTCCGCGCAATTCCTTCTGTTGTCGTGATCATTATCCCTATCAATTGTTGTAAACTGTTCGCCCTCGTGATGCCGCAATGCATCGTCAGCAGAGCCGCTGTGCACACCCAACTCCTTCAATTCGTATTTCTCAGCCTCACTGCCGATGACAATGTTATCATATCTGGCAAAGGTCTGAACGTCATTGATATCCGTTAATGTGATCAGTATTTCATGTGGGAAACCATTTGACGTTAAGTTGTGTAGTGTTTCCATTCCAATAAAGAACTCTGAATTACGATTTCCAAAACCATTCTTATAGTCCAACCATTTGCGGTTGAAATTGACCGAACCATCTTGACGGCGTAGAACAGTGGTCCAACTGGATTTCTTTTCTAGTGAACCATTCTCCCATAGAGTTTTAATTTGATTTTCTTGCCTAAAACAAGTATTACAAATTAAATAGTGTACATATGTAATTTTTTTTTATCTCTATAAATATATGTATGTGCAAATACCTTTTTTGAAAATCCTCAATTCCCTTTTCCAATTTATTTAGTGACCCACTGTGTTGGTTTAATTTTGTTAATATATCATTTTTAAACGTTGAAACTTCTGCCGCCAATTTGCCGTGCAATCCACTTATGTCACTGATTCTAACAAATATATAAAATGCCATATTAATTATATTTTCCAGTGGTTGAACACTGAACTTACCTATTGTTCACATCCTTATGAAAAACGTCGTTATTCTCTTTTACAATTTGTAAAATATCGGTTTTTATGGTTGATTGACCCTTGATTGAATTCTCCACGCGAGAGCTGAGATCTTTGATACTAAAAACAGTAAGCAAATTATATATTGATACGATAATTTGTTGACATGCTAAATATTCATACGACACAATAAGTTGCAAATTGCATCCAAATACATTACCCCTTTTTATCATGGAGAACCTCAGTCATCAGTTTATCAAGTGATATTTTGTTCTCATTTAAGGTAACTTTTACTTCATTTTTATATGCGTAAACTTCATTAGCCGTTTTATTCATTAGTTGATTGATGTCAGCAATTCTGTTAACAAAGTGTAGACATTAATTTACTAATACTATCCAACACATTGATATCGAAATAAATAAATAATTTACTGGTTAATGATATTGGAGGTATATTTAGCAAATAAATATTATTTTAATTTTCTCAACAAATATTCCTATATTCATCAATAACTATATTGTCCTTTTCATTGTAATCCCGCTGAGATATAATCTCAAACAACCATAAAAATTGGTTGACATGAGCCGAACAAAACGACAATATCGTCAGCAAATCTTTCTGATTTCCATCGGCTGTTGACGTGCTCGAGCTCCATGTTATTTATTGTGCATATCCGATATTCAAAAGTAAACGAGATAGACCCATAGTTACTTTTGAAAATATGCATACAATCACTTTTGGAGCCGAATTATGTACGTCCGTCCGTCTGTCCAGGTTCCCTATATTTTTATTTCAAATAACTATGTGAGGGTATACATAGTTCACCCCAGTCGAACTTAAGTATTTTTCACAAAAATGAATTTTTTATTCACCAATAATCCGATATATCAAATTACTCTCATGAGAAAATTCCGTTAAAATGTATTTATAGCGAAAAGGAAGCGGAACTTTTAAACTTCCAGAAACCTTTATACCACAATACAGAAAATGGAGTGGTACCGGTCTGTGGTAGGGAGATTCAACACCCCACAAGAATTGATAAATCATATATGTAGATTGGGTATGTAGATTTTCTACTCAATATGGATCCATAATATAAAATTACATTGAATTAACATTGGATGAAACCATGATTCAAACTCCCCAAAATACCGAAGTTTGGTATATAACGTTATATGGCCGATTGACACAATATTTTGCACAACGTTCTGAAATTAGTATAACAGATTTAGATTTAGATATAGCTCCCATATAGTTTCGTCAAATTTTCAGTAAATGGTGCACCAAAGCCCCAAAATATGGCTGATTGACACACAATTTTGCATAACGTACTGAAGTTACTATAACATAACGTGTGTCAAGTTTTGTTGAAATCGGTTCAGAATTCGATGTATCTCCCATATGTATTTTCATCCGATTTTAAGTCAATGGTGCATCAATGAGCCACAATAACACCGATTAATACACAACACGTTGAAATCGGTTCAGATATGGATGCTATGCACAAAACGTATTGAATTTAGTCAAGTTTTGTTGAAATCGGTTCAGAATTCGATGTAGCTCCCATATGTAGTTTCATCCGATTTTAAGTTAATGGTGCACCAATGAGCCACAATAACACCGATTAACACACAACACGTTGAAGTCGGTTCAGATATGGATACTATGCCCAAATCGTATTGAATTTAGTATAACCTTAATCGTTGAAATGGTTCGCATTTAGATATAGTTTTGATATATACATTCTCCCGATTTCGTGTAAATGGTTCACCAAACTCCTAATCTTTATCAGATTACATTTTGTAGAAATGCAGACATGTCCTATGTATACAAACGAACAAATCTATATCTATCCATATGAAAATTTTGGCATAGGTTGGAGAATGACATGTTTATGATTGATTTAAGTCGGTTCACAGGTAGATAAATATCATGTATTATTTTAGTTTATCCAATTTCATGTTAATGGACCTTCAAAAATACGACGTCTATAAGGATGCATCCGTTGAATATACTCGAAGGGGTGAAGGGTAGCATATAGTCGGCTCCGTCCGACTTTACTACTTTCCTTATTGGTTCTACCATAACACAATCCAAAATAAGCAATTGCAATAAAAATATCGAATATTGCGGGGTACCGTTATATGGGGCCTAACCCGAAACATAAGTCAATATTTGTCACCTAGGCAGAATGTGAATCCACAATAACGACTTACAGCTGATTCTGTTGAAAAGCGATATCTTACAAACCAAACTGCCTGTAATTAATACACCTTACCGTATAACCTCCACTTAATGAATTAAATGTATCAACCTCCCTGTGGCCACGTTTTCCAACCAACAACCTGCATAATATATTGTAATTTATCTTCCCGAATAACACTTACCTTTCATTAAACGCTCCGAATGATTTCATCGACTCATTAAAACGTTGTTCCTGATCCTGGAATTTTTCAAAAACGTCCACTTTAAATTCTTCAAATGTCTTGGAAATACCATCGAATTTTTTGTTCACATCATCGAAGTTCTTTTCCAATTGAGAGAACCTATAAAATAAAATGAAAAGTATACAATAGCATTAATTCAATATTAATTAAGTACTGATCACCATGCTTTACCGTTTGTTAACACCTTTCATTTCATTGTTGATTTTAGATGTAGCCGTAGGCAATTCAATCAGTTTACTTAATATCAACTGCATAACAAATACATCATCTTCACTGTCATCTAAATCCTAATAATTTATGAAGTTAACATCAAATTTAACCCGGATACATATTTTGTAAGATCTTACATAGTGCTCTTTACGTAAAATTTCTGAGTACACTAAATTAATTATTCCGATCAGCAATAAAATTATGAATAATTTCATTTCTTTTTAATGTTTTGCTTTCAACGAAGTAAACAATACTGCTGTAAGCAATATTGACACGCGTTATGATGCCTTATCAGTTCCAGTTGCGCTATGGATCATAAAAGGTCAGTCGTTGCTTCTTTTTTTTTTGCATTATCTCTTATAAATAAATGGGAGTCCCCCCGTATGTACAAATTCTTATATTAAACCTTTGAGACCGAAATTTTTTCGCGGCCATAGAATAATTTTCGTGCACAGATTTAATGCAACTTATCTAAATAGGATATGCACAAAAATTTATTACATCCTTGCATTTGGCAGATACAGTACACTATTTAAAAATCCCATATCAATAAAAGCAAATGTAAGAAGTAAGAACCACTTTAAATATTTTTTTTATAATTTTTTACAAAAATCAAAATTAATTTTTGGGGTAAAATTCGAATTTGAAGCAATTTAAATAATTAGGAGCTTATATACACAATTTTTTGCCCTCCAATATATATTGACAAATGCATAATTTTGCCTAAAATTTAAATATTTTTGTTTTTGAATTTAAAAATATTTATATTTAATATTTTTAAATAAAAAATATTGTTGTTTATGAGCAACATTGGATCACAAAGGGTTAATTTGTACCTACATATTTTTGTAACATGCAAAAGGGAAGGAGATCGACCCCTAGTTTTTTTTAATTACGTAGCATCACTTGATTTATGATTACTCGTCAATTCGAATTTGAAGCAATTTAAATAATTAGGAGCTTATATACACAATTTTTTGCCCTCCAATATTTATTGACAAATGCATAATTTTGCCTAAAATTTAAATATTTTTGTTTTTGAATTTAAAAATATTTATATTTAATATTTTTAAATAAAAAATATTGTTGTTTATGAGCAACATTGGATCACAAAGGGTTAATTTGTACCTACATATTTTTGTAACATGCAAAAGGGAAGGAGATCGACCCATAGTTTTTTTTAATTACGTAGCATCACTTGATTTATGATTACTCGTCCATCTTTCTGTCTATCCATGTATTTTTGAAAACAAAACACAGATTGCGTCTTTTATATAATAGCGATGAAACTTGGCACAGCTCAATATATTGGTCCAAAGAAGAAATCTATTAGTGACAGTCGGTTCAGATTAAGTTATAGCTCCCATATATATTTTCTTCCGATTTCACAACAGATTATCCCACTGATACAACATTATCATAGTGCTCAGGGATTCTGTTTGTTTTTATTATTTTCGAAGACCTTAGCAAATAATTTATGATGTACCACTCAGAACTCAAAAAAAAATCTTTTAATTTCGTTCGTGTTTGAGTAACCACATGGCCAATTACTGTTCTATTTCGGTTTCATACACTTTCGTCACTTGTGACGATATTTCGAAGCGCCCTGATGGTGACGTTTCGTTTTTCTTTTTTTTTCTTTACACCAAACACAGTAGTATTTTTTGAATAAGTGTCAAATCGTTCAAAGAAATGCCTTAATATAGAGACATCTTAGGGTAAGTCACACGACATCAATATTGTTAAGGTACAATGACCGTTTTTGGATAACCATCAGGAACTACTTCTTTGAGTGATCGTAGCCACGATTGAATTTAAAAATTCAGTTTTATTGTGAAGCGCTATGCGATGGTGCTTTATCGCCATACACAGATTTCAGTTCATTGATGTATTTTTGTTGATATTCTACGTCGCATGTTATGCACGAGTTAATTCCATGTTTATACCCTTCACCACACTGTGGTATTATGTCTTTGAGCATATGTTTGTAACATGCAGAAGGAAACGAGATAGACACATGGTACCTTTTGAGAATATGCATAGCATCACTTTCTATTAGATATAGCTCCTATATATATTTTGTCCGATATTACATAATAGTGAACCAAACACCCAATATTTGTTCGATTGAAACAAAATTTTATACAGGTTCTGATTTAGATATAGCTCCCATATGTAGTTTCGTCCGATTCTTTGTAAATGACGCACTAAACTCCCAATATTTATTTGTCCGATCAAAAAAAATTTGCTCAGAGTACTGAATTAGGTCCAGTTTGAAGTCTTTGAAGTTTTGTTGTCTTTTGTTTGTTGTCATTGCTCCCATATATAGTTTCGTCCGATTTTATGAAAATGGTGCACCAAACATTAAATATTATTCCGATTGGAACAAAATTAGGTCCATATTGAAGTGTACGAAGTTTTGCGTAAATCAGTTCATATTTAGATATAGCTCACATATATAGTTTCGTCCGATTTTTGGTAAATGGTGCACCAAACTCCCAATATTTTTTCAATCGATACAAAAGTTAGCACAGCGTACTCATATACATAGTTTTGCCCGATTTTATGGAAATGATGCACCAAACCCCATATATTTTTCCGATTGAGACGCAATTTTGCACAGCCTACTTGATTAAATCCGAATCAAATCGGTTCAGATATTATCTAAATGGTGCACCAAATTACAAAATTCGATTTGGATTTAGACATATCTCTCATATATATTTTCGCCTGATTTTAAGTTAATGGAGCACCGAGGAGCCTACGCTTGCCACGGTTGCTCAATTGTGCGCAGATTTACATATAGCTCCACATACATTATTTTGACATGAATTGACATGCAATTTTTCATAGATTTCAGAATGGTATGTGTATGGGTTTCTTAATTGTTTCATATATATTTATATAGATCACACACTTAGTTTCGCACGATTTCATTTCAATGATCTTTTAACGATTATATGTTTGTTCTGTCTCCAGTATATTGTATATACTAGCATAGACCCGCTACGTCGTTAGAGGATTTTTTATAGTTAAAATAAATAAACATTAATTAATGAAAATATTGACGTTATCTCCTATATTTTTATTATTTTTCTCATATTTCGCGAAGATTTGCAACTTTTTCGCGATTATTATAATATATTAATATTCTTATTTACGGAGGTCAATATAATAAATCGCGTAATTTTAAGATTTTGTTCTTATGCCAAAAATTAAAACCTCGATAACTTTTGCGCGCATCAACCAAAAACTTGATCGCGAACGGAGTCAGAACATTTTTCTCTATATGTGTACCAAAAATCATTGATGTACCACGAAAACAAAAAAGCTGATTTTTTTTAATGGAATATTTAAAAATTGGCAATATTGCCCATATAGATTATCGTCACTTGTATGTGTACAACGTGATGAAGGTTATCATATAGACAGCCTGCCCGGGATGTAAAACTTGTAAAATCACAAATGGTAAAATTAGTAAAGAATTGTATATTGCCCATTATTAGTATTTTTATACCCTTCCACATAAGGCAATCATGCAATATTCTGATTGCCTTTGATAATGATCGGTTAATATTTAAGGGATGAAATGGACCAAAAAATGTCGAGCGAATCGCTACAAAATTTTACACGAGATTCCGGTTATGGTCAGAAAAACTTTATGGTTTTCTAGTCGCTCCAGAGACCACTATTGTAAGCCGAATATCACAATTTTTACATGATGAAACGATCTGGCTAACTGCGATTATTAAGGGTGAAATTATAAACCAAACCACTTTTATGTGTAAAACATCCAATTTGAATCGTATGGCTAAAAGAGATTACTCTCTGAAAGCATGATTCGGAAAATATGAAAGATTAAGAAAGAGGAGTTCTTGAACTGTAATCGATTAAGAAGGTGCAAATATCGCGAATTATCGGCACGGAATATAGATCCGCAGAAAGTTAAACTTCTGTGGTAATTGTAAAGGAAGACTTAAAAATAAACTTATAGCGAAAGTTTATTTCACAAATAAATAGGTATAATAAAATATAAACGCAAAATGTATTCTGAAATAAAAATAATATTATATATGGAGAACTAAATTGACCCAATTTTTGCTTGGTCAAAACTAAAAAAACATTTTGATGTTTTCTTTTAAATAAGTAAATTTAGATAGTAATCAACAGCGTCCTCAATCCTTGATATTTTAAGAAATTACTGATTTTTTCATGGAATATTTCTCTGAAATAATATTCTGTGATAAATTAATATTGTGTGATAGGGGAGACTGGGCCACTTCGGCATCGAGGCTCATCCGGCTATCGCGTTTTCGATATGAAGCTCTCACTGTACATCACTGACTTCGATCCAGAGGCATCGAATATCGAAAAAAGCATAAATATCTAGCTAATAAACTTATTTAAATGCACGGTTTTTTTATATTTTTACAGATGTTTTGGTAATATTTCCATTCCATATATTTTTATGTCGGTTCGCTTTACATGACATATTGCATAGCGTATTGGATTGAAGATGCTTTAGGTTTAGATAAAGCTTCCACATATATTTACATCCGATTTTATCAAAATGATATACCAAATAACTAAAGTTTGTCCACTTAGGACGAATTAGAAGACAGCGTACCAAATCGAACATAATAGATTTTTGTGTCGAGATAAAATGTGGATAGCGCACTGTGTTGCAGCATACCAAATGGATGTACTTCATTCAGTTAATTTTCACAAGGAATTCAAAATTTCCAAAATTTGAACAAATCTAACAGAAAAATTTTAACAATCTAATGCGAACTGAAAGTTATTCTTAAGCATTTCCCCACACTCTATGGACTGGTTCAAATCAGACTGAAAGTCTGTACATTATTAACAAGATTGTTAAAAACTATAAATAACTACACCCAACATGAAAAAACACCTTTTCCTCGTGTAGGTGTAAATCTTTTAGACATATGATGATACATTTACCACCTCCTCTATCCAATCTAACTTTACAAATTCTCCCTGATTTAATGGCATGAAAAACAAAGCAAGAACAACAAAAAATATATATATCAAATTATTTACTATCCCATAACAT